TTTGTCCATGAATACCACTGTTAGTGCTGAGACTAGCTGTACGGGTGCGCTTAACGACAATACTCGTAAACGTTACAATACACAACGACGGTGCAAGCTGCCGCTGACATGTATTGTAGTTACACCTTTGACAAGCTGTTGTCAATCCAGAGTAACAAGAGTGACATTTGTCCATGTATACGACTGTTAGAGCTGAGACTAGCTGTACGGGCGCGCTTAACGACAATACTCGTAAACGTTACAATACACAACGACGGTGCAAGCTGCCGCTGACATGTATTGTAGTAACACCTCTGACAAGCTGTTGTCAATCCAGAGTAACAAGAGTGACATTTGTCCATGTATACGACTGTTAGAGCTGAGACTAGCTGCACGGGCGCGCTTAACGACAATACTCGTAAACGTTACAATACACAACGACGGTGCAAGCTGCCCCTGACATGTATTGTAGTTACACCTTTGACAAGCTGTTGTCAATCCAGAGTAACAAGAGTGACATTTGTCCATGTATACGACTGTTAGAGCTGAGACTAGCTGCACGGGCGCGCTTAACGACAATACTCGTAAACGTTACAATACACAACGACGGTGCAAGCTGCCCCTGACATGTATTGTAGTTACACCTTTGACAAGCTGTTGTCAATCCAGAGTAACAAGAGTGACATTTGTCCATGTATACGACTGTTAGAGCTGAGACTAGCTGTACGGGTGCGCTTAACGACAATACTCGTAAACGTTACAATACACAACGACGGTGCAAGCTGCCGCTGACATGTATTGTAGTTACACCTTTGACAAGCTGTTGTCAATCCAGAGTAACAAGAGTGACATTTGTCCATGTATACGACTGTTAGAGCTGAGACTAGCTGTACGGGCGCGCTTAACGACAATACTCGTAAACGTTACAATACACAACGACGGTGCAAGCTGCCACTGACATGTATTGTAGTAACACCTCTGACAAGCTGTTGTCAATCCAGAGTAACAAGAGTGACATTTGTCCATGTATACTACTGTTAGAGCTGAGACTAGCTGTACGGGCGCGCTTAACGACAATACTCGTAAACGTTACAATACACAACGACGGTGCAAGCTGCCGCTGACATGTATTGTAGTAACACCTCTGACAACTGTTGTCAATCCTGAGTAACAAGAGTGACATTTGTCCATGTATACTACTGTTAGAGCTGAGACTAGCTGTACGGGCGCGCTTAACGACAATACTCGTAAACGTTACAATACACAACGACGGTGCAAGCTGCCGCTGACATGTATTGTAGTTACACCTTTGACAAGCTGTTGTCAATCCTGAGTAACAAGAGTGACATTTGTCCATGTATACTACTGTTAGAGCTGAGACTAGCTGCACGGGCGCGCTTAACGACAATACTCGTAAACGTTACAATACACAACGACGGTGCAAGCTGCCGCTGACATGTATTGTAGTAACACCTTTGACAAGCTGTTGTCAATCCAGAGTAACAAGAGTGACATTTGTCCATGAATACCACTGTTAGTGCTGAGACTAGCTGTACGGGTGCGCTTAACGACAATACTCGTAAACGTTACAATACACAACGACGGTGCAAGCTGCCGCTGACATGTATTGTAGTTACACCTTTGACAAGCTGTTGTCAATCCAGAGTAACAAGAGTGACATTTGTTCATTGAAACATTCCATGAACTCATCACCTTACCAGAGTAATAGTGAAAAGTTGAGGAGTTAAATCCTGAAAAGTTGTTGTATAAAGGTGCAATAGCACTTTATCAACGAAAGCAAACAATTTATGTAGAATGAATTAGTCATTACATTTGCAAACCAATCAAATGTTTTATCATGAAATAGGCCCTACTCCTTATAAATTGTACATCCTCGATCCAAAACTATTTTACCTTATATTGATGTCCGACTTATGTAGAGTTTGTTTCCACTTTTACTATTGTCATTTTTCTTATTAACTCATTTAACTAAACCAAAGATCAATTTTACCCTCTGGTATTACAACTTAGCATTACAACTCTGGTAAATATTTTTTTGTTTTAATAAACTGTAATAATTGTTATTTTACACAGCGCTGTTTTATTAATAACTTCTCACCGACAAAACAAATATTGCATAGATCTCACACATTATTTATTTTTCATTCCACCTTTATTAGAAAAGTTGGATAGTTTCAACATTTTATAATTACAAAAATGCTATTAAATAAAGAAAAATTTATTCCAAAAATAATCTCTCTAATCCATTAAAATGTTATAATAAAATAATAAATGTAGTAATGTAATGCTGAGCTGTCGCAAAACAAAATGTTAGCAGTCATGGGCCACCCGTTACTACAATTTCAAAATTATCGTCAACTCGTAATTTAAAGGAAAGGAAACAACTGAAATTACATTAAAAGTGATTTGCATAAGAACGGATGGGTATTACTACAAAGATCTATAGCTTAAAATATCAATAATCATTAATCAATTAATGATAGGGACGGTTGTGCGTATTTTAACGCAAACATGAGTGAAGGATAAGTGTAGAATGGAGTGAGATGATCTTTGGTAGCTTTGTTACTGATTATGATCTGCTGTTTCAGTAGCCAGGAGCATTCATTTAAAGGCAGGATCAGGGACAGTTGTGTCCAGTTTTGAATCATAAAAAAGCTACTGACTTTTCTCAGGATCGAACCAGTTGATCCGTTGATTGTCAGGCGAATACCATAACTATTCAGATACTCAGCCTGTTTTAAATATTTATCTGCTATCATGTAACAATCTCAAATCAAAATTTGAAACAAGAGAAATTATTTTAATAACAGGTTTATGATATATGTCAGGCATTAGTTCGTGTTCGTTCTACCTTAAAAATACACGTTATTTACTATACATTATTTTATAGTAGAGTTCAAAATCTAATACTGACCTTTTAACTATTTTCAATTTGTGCGTTAGCTACAGGCTGTAAGACTGGAGCCTTATACAATCTCCAAGTAAATTCTTAAGCCCCCAGTTAAACCCTCACTTTTCCCAAAGCCTTATTAGCATATTTATTGAATGCATAAGCACAAAGAGCTTTAGGCAGTACGATGATACTTTCATAATTAATTATTCTTTCTCGTTATATATTTTAGGTACAGCAATATAACCTTATATGTATCTTTGCATAGACATTTTTAAGGCTTTAGGTTATTGTATTACCAGTAAGTATGAAATTGTAATAAAAAGGGAAGGTTTTTAGAATTTTTTATATGACACACCAATTAACTAAAAATCACTCCCTTTGGTTAAAATTTCAGCTGGTATCAGCTGAAATTAAGTTTTAATATTCCTCTGGTCAATCCTTATTTACATGTTCTAATTTGAAACTGAAATATTAACCTGTTTCTGTTTAATTATATTTATTTAAATTTTTGTTTTAAATAATCAAAAGTTTCCAACTTCTTCACCACGTTTTAATGATTCCATCTGTTTTTACATGAACATATGATAAGGTACATATTGGCCATAGTTTTCTGTAACGAATCGTAAAACAGGAATACAACTTCTATAAATATAGGTTTACAGGATAGTTGAAATTTAAATCAAAAATAATTAACACTGCTCTTATCCTAATGTAGTTACAAGTTTATACTGTTAGGGAATGTTTGAAAAATATCTACTAACTGTAGGGACCGACATGTCTACTATTGACTCAGCTTTTTAACTAACTTATTACTATGTAATTTAAGTTTAAAGCGAAAATTCTTTTACTACAGTTATTGCATTTACAGAAAAAAGATAATATTCCCAAACCATGACTTTTAATAAATAAAAAATACAACAGTAGCCTAGTTGGAACAGCGTAGAATTTTTTTGTTTGTTTTATCATCAATACCAAAAGGAATAAATTACCAGAGAGTTTACAAACCAACTTGTATATTGATAGGTTTTAACGTTTATAGCTTGATGACACCAGAAACTGATTATGACGTATAAACTAAGAGGTAACACTGGCTTATCAAATAGTCAATACCTTCAATGGCCACATTTAAGATTATTTATCTAAGAAGTACGTTAGCCAATCAAAGAACCTCAGAGAAGATCACATGGACAATCAGAAATGCTGAAGACTAAGAGGTAAGTGTCATCATAGATTAAACATACTCCCTAAAGTATGTTAAATCTATGGTATCATTAGCTTAGAATTTCGCATACGCATCCATATATTGACATTTTATCTAACGCAAAATGTTTTACACCTGTAAAGGATGTACTTCTAAAATTTTGCTGAATAAACTTATTTTTTGAGCGAATTGAAATTATTAGTGGGAACTAACACAACGAGAGAATTTTATTAGCTTAAAAATTAAGTGGACCCAGAAAAGTTTGGGAAATACATACCTTTATAGACACGCTCTCCTGAAGTGTAAATAACATATCAAATCGCCTAAATAGGAGAGGGTATCATACAAAATCATTAAATATGTCATACAAAATCAAATAAAAATACATCATTAGGTAATGATACAAATAGCAGGTTTTTACTTTAGTCTTTCTTAATTATACCACAACAGACGTTATTTTCTATGAGTTTTGTTACTATCTGTTGATAATTTTATATTATTAAAGTTAAAATCTAAATATAACAGCTTATTACATATTTGGTTTTACAATACCTTTATCAGTCCCAAAAACAATTTTGGAACTGTATCCAGTGCTTTCCAGTGCTTTTGGAACTGATAAAGGTATTGTAAAACCAACTATTTTTATATATTACAGTTCCGGGGCTACAACAATGAATTTTTATAACAGCTTACCGTTCCTTTTCACGACACCCTCCATGAAGATTTTCCCTCTACAACCAAACTCAGATTCGTCTGATTCTCTGTTGACTCAACTCCAGGCGGCCTTTAGCTATGTCCCAGATCTTTTCTGACAAATAATTTGGAAAATATGAACCCCATGGGTGGCTGGAGGGGTCGGGGTTGGGAGTTTGCGCTTCAAGGATATAGGGTGGTACATCAGCCCGCGCGCTCACTCCTGCACTGAATGCTTCGAGATGCACACTCTACTTGCACTACTTCTTTTCGTTGTTGTCTTCGTGGTCCCTAATCAGGTAGGAAAATTAATTTAGGAATGACAATATGATTTAAGATAGTTGTAAAAAGTCATAGATTGATTTTTTGGATTTTTAAGGGGCACGAAAGGTGTGGTACCTCTTTGGGTTGGAGGTAGCAAAATAATACGGGTGATGCAAATTTGTAGAAAATAACACATATGTTAAACATATTACATGTTTCAAGATAGTTTTAGGGAAGTTTTTTTTACTTTGTGAGGTTTTTGTGGGACGCAACAAGATGTTGTAGGACTTTGGATTGGAGGTAGATAGATATGAATGATAAGTATTTCTTTTTATATTTGAAGTTGTGTGTGGTTTTAAGTTGAATTCAGGAAATTTGAGCTAGACGTTACGAAATGTGGCAATTCTTTGGAAGAGAATTGCTTAAAACTAAAATAAATGTACATAACTATTCAATACACGAGTCTTCGATATAAAAAGGATAATATTCTGTAATATACAGTCAATTTAATAAAATGTTTTTTTTTATTAAGTAAAAACCCCACTTGGATATATGTCTTAAATAAATTGTCTGGAATATAATGGAATACAAGTATTTAGGTTTAAAACACTAAAAGATAGACGGATAAAACCGAAGATTGAATGCCATCAAAGATGTCACAAAACAGGCTTACAGCATTTTAAATCTTAATCGCAAACCACAGGAGTTTTCATACTAATTTGCAGTCAAAACTAGAATGGACCCGATACAAGAATTGCGGAATTATACAGGTACATTTCGTAATAGTTTAAGTCACAAATAATTCTGTGTAGTAGTGAAGGATATATATTGCAATTGTAATAGGCCAATGAAGTAGGAGTATAATAATATTTTATTACAGTATTTAACAAATTGAATAATTTTTATTTTTATTTTTTTAATGACTATACATATTCATTTAAAAGTGAGATAAGGTAAACATTAATAATTATAATATACACAAATCTCACTTTTAAATGTGTAAAATAAATTTCAAAATAGTAAACTAGCTAGTATATTTCATACTTAAAAAAAATATAGGAATACATTATATTACTTGCGTTAACGTCTTACTGTCTACCTTATGTTACTGCCAATGATAATAAAATGGACGACAAAAAATCCAAACATGAGATAAGAATATTGCCAGAGATTCCTAAATCCTCAATTATAATCACTTACGTATACAAATAAATTAAGAGTGTTTTAAAGCTAAAAAATAAATACTATTAAAAGAAGAAACCTATTCAACCTTTATTTAACTGAAAGCTTCTTTAAAAATAAAATATATTTTTAATTTTAAAGGACCTATCAAACATGTAACTAAACAATATTACCTTCTAGTTTCTAGCTTTTGTTAACTTTTAAGTTATAATTCATTTTTCATCTATAACTTTTTAGCTTATACAATGTAGATAAAGTTAAATAATGTGGAAGGTGTAGGCGACGCGATTGAAAATGTTCGGAAGAAACTATACTTAATTAAAATTATCATTTTTTTATTTGAGTTTATGATTGATAAACTGTCAAAATATCTTTGAGATAATTATGTATTATATTGGCATATTGAGGTAAAACTGGTTAAATGAAACAACGTATTAGCTGATTTATCAATTTTTACAAAATAAACTTCCCTTTTGTGTTTTTATGCCTTGAAACCACTTTATCATTGATCAAGCAATTATCAAGATGTTCACAAAATGAAATAAATAAGGCAAGTTATAATAAAATAAAACCTCAGCTGCGATTGATAACAAATAAGTTAATCTTTTTGAAATATGACTATATGTCAACTACTTCTTCCACAAACAACATCATGTAACTTTTTAAAGTATATTATTAGGTATAATTCTCGCTTTTGGGATATGATGAAATCGTAATCCAAGTTAATTCTCGTTCATAAGCCTTTATAACATTTAAACACATTGGAATTGCAAATTGTTCACCACAGTTGTAGATTTTTGCTGAGACACTCATGGTTTCCTTGCCAATAGTTTGTTCAAAATAAAAATTAAGTACTACCATTGTACTATCCAAATACAAATAATGAAGCTCTAAAATTAAAAAAAATTAAAATTTTAACAGTTTGAGACGGTATGAAGTTTAATAGATTGTGTACGTACGTATCATGGATATCATAGTCCAGTTGCACAAGTTTTCTCAGTATTAAGCTACTAGAGGAAAAAAATAACTAATCTATGTAGCTTAGAACTGTTTAATTTATGAAATGGCCAAAAAATATTTAATGTTAGTTGGTGTTAATTGGGTTATTCTATGCTTGTCGATATAATGTGTTGATAGCTTTATAAATTACGATTCTTAAGGTGAGTCAAACTAAATGATATGAAAAAAGGAAATCTGGTTGAATAAAATATTAAATCCAATTAAATATTGTAGTGTCCTTAAATCCTTTCAGAGGGAATTTCCACTTAGTCGACTTCACTTTTTGTATAGTCTGAAAAAATTTTACCTATCCAAATGCGATGAAGGAAAAAACGAATAAAAAAAACTGGTTTGAATTTTAAATGAATCACAAAACTTAAAAAAATATATTTTATAGTTTTATTATCGCTTTACGACGTTCTACTTTATATTTGCCGAGTGTGCGAAATCTGAAGCGTGTTTAATATGCGTAGTGGCAAAACCCACAACCGATACTTGGAATATACGTCCCACACGATGCATATATACATACGTTATACATACAACATAAATACACATGAGCATGCCAATATGCGACAAATGTGTTCTTTATAGAACTGCATATCAATCAGTATTGTTGAACGAGGTCGGTTATTTTGATTTATTAGTTAAAATAGACTGTAATTAAAATTTTATGTTATAATGCTTGTAACAGTTATACAAAATTACTTGAGTTTGAAAAGGGTTAGACACGTTCTGGTATTCTCTTTATCATATTCATAATGAATTTATCACATTCAAGAAAGGGATTTATATTGAAACAAAGGGAATGGTAGTTTGATTAAAGTATTTGGTTATTTTTTCCTTTCTCTCCTAATACAGACAGAATGTGTTGTTTTGTCCAACATTTTCCAGTTTAAGTCTTGAGTAAAAAAGTCCGTATTCGGTTCTGAAACGGCTCTCTCACGGAAAAATCACATTTTCCCAAAAAAGGATTGAACGAGTTTGATTAAAATTTATTTCTTTTTAGTCTCTTTATAGTCTTTTTAACCCTAAACAAAAATATACAACCCCAATGCTATACAAATTCCGTACAGAAAGGTTATTGGAATTGTTGTTATTTTACATATAAAACAACATAGTTACTCCATCTGACTTGACCCAACAAGGGGTTTTAACAAGACGATAAGGGAAAGTATGTTTGCTGATACAGTTGATTTTAGTACGTTGATTAAAAATCAAATTGTTATCAATACATATTTATTCTATTATTAAATTACCGACCAATCTTAGATCATATTTTACACCGCACCCCAATGTATGTATTATCCAATTATAAGTTCATACATCTTGGACATTTGAGAAACTGATTGTATGAGGTATAGCTTAACACTTTACAGTATTTACATTCTGGTTCGCCAGATCTCTTGAGAACCTTAACAAAATATAACACACATGTAAAAAATTATTTTACACATAATTTTTTACATTCACAATATTTTGACATATTGAACTGCATTTTTTAAATAAAACTTTACAAAGAACTCAATACTTTAGGAATTTATATTGACCAATCTAACATTGGTTTTAAAAGTCAAAAAGTATTTTGTTACATATAAATACCTTGTGTAAATATTGCAATGATCATGGTTCTTTTAAACTAAATTATAAGGATACCCCTTTCCTATTTATACCAATAGGGTCTCTCTTAAGTGTATAGTGTCGTGGTCATACTGTATTAGCTTATAGCGTTATTTTAATGTTCAAATTTAGAACAATCAATGGTGTTTATTTAAGATGTTTTACTATACAATAAGTATGAAAGTAATTCTTTGAGTCATTGATATCGTTACTTTTAAGGACCAGCAGGATTCTTTTTTATCAAAGAGAAATATCCATAGCGTATAATGTGCTTTTACAGTCTAACGATCCTGGGGTATTTTAATCCACAACTTATTAAATTCTTCAATACTCATTAAATAGACTTTGTGATTCCATATTTTGTATTTATTGGACTTTAAAAGGAAGAACAATAGTCTTTGTAAAACAGACATCGAGTTTTGATAAAGTTTTTTTTCACCTAAGAATGAACGACACTACATGAGCTATTATAAAATAGCCTACAACACAATACGTGTTCCCACCTATCCTGCTGGCTTCTGTGAGAAGCTACATGTATATGTTACTATAACGATTGATTCGACCATTTACATTGTATATGTAATGGCATCGTTACGTACAATACTAATCAAGAAGTTATTAATCCTAACTTCTGTATTATCTAATTTTTAAACTACACTACTTATATACAATTGAAAGTTCACAGTCCATAGTAAACCACTTCAAACGTTTTTATGATAACTCGTTAATAAAACTGAAGTATTTAACTTTTCAATATCTCTCAGAGAGGTTGGATGCTATGGACAGGTTATTAAAGCTGAGCGCCGCAGAATAAAACTTTTATTTGACTTTTAAACTAACTGGTCCAATACCCACTTGTCAAGTTTAACAACCATTTTAGCCTACAACATCTGTGAAACTTTATCATTTACTGATACTTTTTACAGCACTAGTACATGGAATAGCATATGACTATAACAATATTATGAGGGGATACCGAAAAGAGCCCTAAATATTATTATTGTGACTATTTTTTAAGAGGTTGCCGTCCACACAGGCTTTTGGCCTGGGCGTAAAACGTATTAGATTAGATTAGATTATTAGATTAGTGGCAAACCAGGACGCGAACTCAAGACATCTTTATCTAACTTAAATTTAAAACGTAAACTTACGCGCTACCTACTAAACCACCTACTCGCTAATATAGATGAAGGGTGAGTGTGGAATGAATAATGATATGCAATAAGTGACTGTT